AAATTATACTTTACAGATTAGAAGGAGCATCTTTATAAATATCCTACAAGACTGTCAGTTCCCATTTAGGAATAATACCATCCTTCACCTTACTGAAAAGCGTTTGGACAGCTGCTGTAAAAACATGTAAGCCAAGTGTCACTGGAAAACTTTGAATAGCCTTGTGCTTTGCAGAAGCCCATTAATAGCTACAAAACTTAATTTTACCAGCTATGGTGTGGATATATGTAAATATCCCTCTCACTGCTTGCTTCAGCCATGCAGTTCAATTGAATTTTAACCTGGTATGAACTGAAGCATTTTATAAAAGTAAGCCGAAAGAAGCTGAAACATTTGGGTTTTCTGGTTCTCTCAGAGGGCAAATATCCTCTGTCCCTGACCCTGCTTGTCCCTCTCTTTTGCCAGGACAGCTGTTCATACTTGAAACTGATTGAGGCTAAAACTCACCTTTATTTCTGAATATTTTTAATCTGAATCAATTTCCTGATCCAATTCATTGTGCAGCATGAACCCTTCTGCCTGTATAAGTAGGGGGCAAGAAGTTGAAAATTAATAGAAGACGCTGGAAATGGTTGGATTTTTTTTATCAGTGAGGTGAACTTACGCAGTTTGACACTGCTTGTGGATGGATCTAGAGGATAAGTTCAAATAAGAACAGTTGTGGTCTTTTCATGGGCAATATGAAGTCCTTGTAAGAAGGGATATGTGGTGGAAAGGAGGAATCATGTAGGCATATTCATGTAAGTGGGCATGAAGCTGTAAATTAGAAAATATATGTGTGATTCCCAAGGGAAAATGGCCAGTAGTAAAGAATCCATGTGATTGGTCTAACACAGTGAGTGTAATATATTAAACTGAGCTTGTAGTGACAGTAATTTCTAGCTCTTTGCTATTACTTGGCAGAGTGACTTGTAAAAGCTGGATCCCTTTACAGTTTCTGCCTCACCATCTAATCAGTCATCAGAGGAGGCAAGGAAAGATTTGCTGAAAATTATGACATAATTATAGAAGGGTATTGCATGGCTAAAAGTGGCCTTGTCTTTTCAATAATCTCCAGTCAAGTATCTCTCTGGCCATGAAGACTCTCAGCTAGTCCTTTTTGTTGCAGTTTACATCTCAAAAAGAGATCTGTAACAGCTTACTTTGTATAGAAAAACATATGGATGAGGCTTTTAAAATGGTATTTTTAGACAGACACTTTATATTTATATTGAAAAAAAAAATCCAGCAACTTTTAGTTGTTGTGTTTGTGGGTAATCAAAATTAAAATGGTAGAGTAGTGGTCTGATTAATGCAATGGAAATTAATTTATTTTGTTGTTTGTTTTTTTTTTTTTAATCCTGTAGTTTTATTTTAAGAGCAGAGATATCCCTGGTCTCTGCCATTAGCAGAAAGGATCTAATTGCTACTGCTGGGTAGCAATTAGATCCTTTTCTTTTTTTGCTGTTGAGGAAGTGGTGGATTTTATTATTGCTGAAATACCTTTATGAAAAAGGTATTATCAGAACATAGCTTGAAATTTAATAAAAATTTAATAAAAATTTTATCAAAACCAAAGTTGAAATTTAATTACTTAACAAAGGGTTTTTCTAGAAACCTATGTCTTGATTTTATTAGTCTTCCTTTGTTGCAGTATTTTTCTTGACATTTGAATTACCAAAGGTGAAGAATTTTCAAATTAAATATAAGATTTTTGTAAGTTTTGGGTTGCCATTTATCATCTTTTCAAAGATGTTCATTTCCGAGGGCTAATAACTAAAAGCTTACTTGGGAGAATGATACTGTAATCAATGTTTACAATAACAGTTTTTGTAGAACTGCCTCAGGATTTGATTGTAGTGGACATACTTGACATGAGTAGCACCTCTTTAGTTCTCTGGGAAGGTTTCTTCTTTTGCTGTTTATCTGAGTACTGATTTGAATTTATTAGAGATGATTTCCCTCTTCCCTCAAATCTGTCTCACGAGACATTTGTTTAAGAAGAGACAGCCAGCAGGTAGACTGAATGAAGCTTAATAGCGTGGCTTTGGTATCGTAGAAAACAGAAATCTTCAATAATAACTGCACAAATTGAACCAGTTTCACTTTCAACACTCCATGTTTTATGTATGATGCAGTCTGTAGAGAAGGTGTGCAGAGTTAAAAGGATTTTTGCCAGGGCTGGGTTTAGCCTCATCTAACTGATTTCTCCAGCATCCTTCTCTAGTTAATTGCAAAAAGAGTCAGCTCTCCAGAGGCTCAATCAGAGCAGACTAATGTATTCTACAGAGTAAAAGGAAAATTAGCCTTGTGGAGATAAAATTGGCTTTCTTGAATACTTCTCTAGGTGCTTTGAATCTTCAGATGTTACACTCACCATCAGATATGCTAAAAGAGAGAAGCAAACACAGAGTGCAAGATGGCAAAATAAGATACAGTAATTGTAAAAGCACAGACATCTGCTTGCCAGGTTAATCAATGTTTTTCCCAAGCTGCATACCTGGCTTGCATTTGAGTGCCCAACAGCAGTATTTTTGTTTGATTTGCAAGGAAGCAGAAGCTTGGTCTTCTAGCTGGTTTGTAGGGACAAGTTGCACACAAAGGCACACTCAGAGAACACTAGAGCTTCTAGAACACAATAGCATAAAAATTACTTGTGCAACTTTCATGTGCCTACTTTGAGTGTGGCACAGTGACCCTGCAAAATAGACCCTGGCTTCATTTTTTGAGGAAATTTGAAGGAGTGTTGTAGATAAGGCAGTGTGTTTTCACTGAAAATTGAGGAAGATTCTGACAAATCCATTTAAATCTTGACAAGACTTAGTCATCGTGTCTCTTTCTTGGAAAATGGTTTATCAGATTCACCAACGTTTTTCCCAAGAAGAAATAAAAATTAAATGTAATGTGGTGCCCTTCAAAAAACCCCCTCATTAAAAAAAACATTAGGATTTAACAAGATTACAAGTAACACCTTTATGAACTATTAGGGCTTCATTAATCATTAGTTGGTTCTTCTAGCTCTGCTTAGTGGTATCAGTAAGGTGTTGGCTAATAAACATGATTTCATTTTTTGTCTACTGCCCAAGCTGTTAGGAGCACTGAACACACTCTCAGAATGTACCATTTCTTTTCTAAGCTCCTCTCCAGCTGGCTTTCTTCTGCTGCTGCTCTTTGTTTCATTCATGATACTCACTTTGAAAAGCATGTGGGTTTCTCTCACTGATAGAAGTTGTAGGATGTTGTCCAAAGAGTGTGGGTTTTAGAAAAAAGGTTATTGCCCTTGTGAATCTGCTGGCTTTTCTTGCTTTCATGTACAGCTGCAGTATTTGATACATATACATTCTGTCAGCAAACATTGGTGAAACTGACGGCCAAGAAAGTGCTTCCTTTTCTCCATAAAGGATGAAGAAGTGACATGGAGATGTAAGGATGCATTGCTTCTGTCTGGCCTTTCCTTGGCAGAGAGTTTAAACTTGTCCATGAACTGTATGGTGTCATAATGATGTCACATGATGGATTTCTTTGGCTTTGCTTTTTACCACTCACTGCAATAAAAAAAAAACAAAAAAAAAAAAAGAAAAAAAGGCAAGAAAATATAGTTCTTGGGATAACAGACACTAACTTTCACCAGAAGGCTATTCCTTTTTACACAGCAACTCCCTAAACCTATTCCAAGAAAAACAAATTTCTGATTGGAGCTGGGCTGCTTCTATTTCCTGATGAAAAATTTGACTGTTGCTACTTCACTGGGGCTTTGTTTCTAATGCCAGAATGAGCTAGTATCCCACTGTATTAATGATGGTGTAGCTGAGTATTAGAATAAAGCCTCAGACTGAGAGTGATTCAATGACCTTAGCTTTAGAGCTTCTCTTTCCATAAGGTCTGCAGGCTGCATACTCCATTCCTATGTTCTGTGTAACCACCCAGAAGCAGCTTGTGATCTTAAATGCTTTAAAGAGAATGTTTGCATCATGACATTACTGTGTACATGGCTAACATGCAGCATAATGGAACAGGGATTTTAATATTTACAGCATGTTACGTAAACGTTGCCCTTCTGAGTATTTTCTAAATCCTCTTAGGTCTTAAGTGACAGCTTTGATTTTTTTTTAATAAAATCAGTCTTTTCATTTATCCAGCTAAGTTTGGTAAACAAAAGATGTTTAATACTTCCTTTCATATAGGCAGATTCTTGTATTTAAGGGTTTATCTTTGTGCCCTTAAGCTTATTAAATTCCTGGGTAACTATTTAAAAAATGCTGACTTTGCAAGAGCAGTACATGGTGCAGAGGTGGGCTTTGGAATTTTCTGTGCTTTGCCAGTGTGTTCTGTGAATAGATAATCTCCAAGGGATTGCAGTAAGCAGAGCAGCGTGGGTTATGGTATGCAAATGTCACATGGACCATGAATTCTATTTTGATCTACTAATAGTCAGTAGTGAAGATTTTGGGTTGGGCTTTATGTGTGAATATATTTGTATATATACTCCTTTTAAAAATTGAGTAAAATGAGAAATTGTGCTGTGGCAAAATAAAAAGAAGGAAAATCATGACAAAATTCTGGATATCTATGGGAGTTTTCTCTTTAAGGCTGCATGACCATTACTTTGTACTGTGCTTTGATTCTGCTCTGACATTTATTTTTAATTAAGTGGTAGATGCAGGCATTCACAACATCTGAAAATTCTTCTGAGGGATAACAGAAGTGTGAGGCAAAGGAGATGACATGAGCAGAAAGTTGTTGGGGATCTTCTAGCATGATTTGGTCCTTTGATTTTCACTCTGTGTGGGATCTGGGGTGTCATGAGGGAGGACGTTTTTCCTGGGGATGCAAGACAGGTAGGAAATGTGTTCAAAATGCTTGCAAGGCCAGTTTAAGCGTGAAGACAGTGTTTTTGTGGCAGTGTTATGGATGGAGAGCTTTGCTGGATGTACTGTGGCAGAGGATGGATGGGGGGATATTTTGTGATATTTTGTGCAGTATGTTTGTGTTTGCAGTATTTGCATTACTTTTGCTTACAGGTGACTGTGGAGGAAGTGATGACTACGACTGCGTACCTGGATCTCTTCTTGCGCAGCGTTTCAGAGCCAGCCCTCCTCAAGATTTTCCTCCGCTTTATCTTGCTGCACCGACATGAGAATGTTCATATCCTGGATACACTTACCAGCAGAATCAACACACCATTCCGGGTAAGACAAGCAGAAAGGAAGTTCAGGAACTCAGCATGGATGTAGGTTCATTGTTCAAGGGGGAGATTTCATATGTTACAGTTGGGTACTTGTTTAGCTAGGAATTTTCTGCCCTCCACCCAATGGTATGATTTCTGCACCCTCTCAATTTTGTGTGCGTGTTTCGACATTTAGCAACCACTATACAAAGCTAATAAACCTGTGAGGTGGTTTCACATATGTAGGAAATGGGATAGAGGTAAAGAGAGCTTCTGGAAGTCTGAATCCTGTTGGAAGATAAAAGGTAAATTTGGAAGCATTTTTATTCTGACCAGTGCTGGATTAGTGCTATCATAGATAACTCTCCCTGGGACTTACAAATATACTTGTAAGGAGCATTTCTGATCTTTGGAGTTTTGCCAAGCAACAAGCTTTTTCAAATAGTCTGTCTGGGGAAACAATGGGAGCTCTCTAAGGAAGTCTCCAAATGGATCCCAGTTGTTAACTGTGATCTCACTGATGTAATTCTCAGGAATCCACAGTCTGTATTTCTGTAGCATGTTTACTGAACTATAATGTTGCCTGCTTTATTTGATTAAAAGAACACACTTTCTTGCTCAAGTGATGAGGTTGCTGCTTCCTTCTCTTTGCCTTCATTCCCTTGTGCAGTAGGGTTTATCTCAGCTTTGTGCTGAGCCCCTTCTCAGCCTAGGCACAGAGCAGCACAGTGGCTGGAGGGCTGCCTGCCAGAGGGAGTAGTTACCTTTGCCAACAGTTGGATCTTCTGGATGAGAAAATGACTACTTGTTGCACTGGACTACTTGAGTGAGCCTGGGTTGACTGGCAACCTTGGCTGACTCTTGGGTGATGCAGAGCTTCATAGATGAAGCTGAGAATACTGTTTTAGTGCAAATGAATGCTTAGAATGTGCAGTAATGTTTTAGAGAAGCCAGAACACCAGCATGTGCATTTAATTTGTGTATTAGGGACAGTAGCTTCATCTGAAAATTGTTTTGAAATGTAAGTGCATGCAAATATCGATATATATGCTGCTGTTAGTGCATCTCTGAGATGGATTAACTCTGAAAACTGAAACAGTTCTGTCAACAAAAATGCAAATGCTGTTGTCTCTGCTGATCATTAATTACTATTCCATAGGCAAGCAAGATGGGAATTGTAAAGAATTCTGCAGCCCTGAGCAGCTCAGGATCTCAGCCAAAGTGGTGCCGTGATGCTAAAGGAGTTTTCTGCAGTATAGCTCAGCCAAGTGCAATCATAGCACAAAAGCTGTGTACATTACTATTGATGAAAATACTAATTAATAATTCACAGAGTTAAACTTATTTAGAGACAGGTGCCTGAAAGGACTTGTAGAAATACTATCCTCGTTTTTTTCTTGAGCATATTTTAAATCTTATCTTTTTACACAGTACAAAAATATACTTGGATTTAGTTATTCAGAAGATTCCAGATTTGCAAAGACTAATGATTACTATTTCCCTGTAAACTTAAATTTCTTAAATACAGGATAATTTGAGGCAGCAGCAGGTGTTTTTGAAGTTTCATGCCATGAAGAAAAGTTATACTTGACTCCTTGTAAATTTCATAGGAGAAAAACAGGAAATCTGCTTTCCTCTTATGTCCCTCCCCCAGTTAAAACAGACATTTATGCAAGAATCTGACTTCTTCCAAAGGCTTGTTGTGAAGCTCTTCAACCATTCAGCTTCTTAATGTGCAGAACACTAATAATTCCTTATACCTAAAGCAACAGAAACTGAAGTGATTTATAACTTTTCTTTCAGAAAAGACCTTAAATTGGTTCAAATTCTGTGTCACAGGTAAAAACTAAAACTCTGTATTGGAAGTTACATGGTTCAGTTCATGCTAAGTCAACTTAAATTAATAAATTTGAATAATGTTTAAGACTGATTTTTTAAATAGCTTATTTGAAGGAAAGTTCTGTTTAGGATTGTATTTTGTTAAAATGTAACATAATACATATATAGCCCTTGACAACTTGAAAAAAAATCTCATGGGGTGCTCACTAAATGAAGTGTCATTCTAAGAGTGTCTTATAAATCATGATGTTCTGACAGAGCCATTTTGTAATGTAGTATGCAGGGAAGATTGGAAAGATAAAATTTCCAGATCAAAAGCTGACAATGTTTATCATTTTCCAGCTCTGTGTGGTCTCCTTGGCATTGTTCAGAACGCTCATTGGCTTGCATTGTGAAGATGTGATGTTACAGCTAGTTTTAAGGTAAAGCCCAAACTCTTTTTCTTATTTTTAATGCTAACTCTGGGACATATGGTCTCTCTCTGTGGATGCAGAGCTGGGTGGGAGTTCTCCAAGAGAGCAGAAATCAAAGTAACTACAGGGATAAGAATATTTATGGTTCCGACAAAAGTCTACCAGACCTGACGAAGTTTGATTTACGTCCTGAGATCTCCAGAGCAAGAGATTTTTCTTGTGATTTATTTCTATACAAGTGAGAGAAGCTAAGAATATATTTATCACCTCCAAAGTCCTTATTCCCTGCTTTTAAATGCATAATTCTTCCCTCCTGCATGTTTTCTCTACTGTATTATGCACTGTGATACAGACCTGTATACTGTTTGCAGCTCCTACCCTTCGTGTTGTTTTCCACCTCTTTGATTCCTTGCTCAATGAGAATTCTTCATGTTCCTGCACTGTTGTAGGTAGATTAAGTGATGTACTAAATGAAGCGATAATTTTTGGTTTTAATTTGTGATTTTATACATTGCTTCAAAATACTCATAATTTGGGTATGTTTATTAGATGAGGACTGTTTATTTATTTGGAAATATTGGTGTAACTGATTTGGGCTTTTAGCATTGCAGATCACATGAATATTCCAGGTACTGTCTGTCCCTCCACATACAGGCATAAAGGTGAAATTCCCTATAGATCTGGCAGTGGTGCCTGGAAATACTGGTAGATCTCTGTGAGCACAAGTACATCACCACTCTAGCATTAGAGTGCTGTGGTTGATCCTTTTGTTTATTTAGGGAATCCTTTAGAATTTATTTGCATTTTAAATGGCAGATCATGGGTGCAGTTAACACTGAGGCTCTTATGTACGTGCCGTTAAAAAGTAAAACCAAAGTTCTCTAAAGAAGTTCAACATGAGACTGTGCTTTCTCTGTTCCTTACCTTCCTCTAGTTTCTTCCCTCCTCTGCCTAAGAGCTCAGCTTTGATCTATTGCAGTAAAATGCTTGGATGACCCTTCCCTCCTTTTTTTTTCTGGCTACTTGCCTGGCAAACTGACTCTCTCTGGATTTCCCAGGAAAACAAATAAATTGAGAATTCTGAGACAGAATGCATTCATAGCCAGACCAAACAATTCTGCCGGCCTTTGACATCTGCCTGTCCCACACTTCCTCCATACTTACTTAAAACAGGTTTGCTCTGACCTCCAAAGGATTCCCTGTTCTGATGCAACTGTCTCCTTATTATTGCTGTTTTTTGAGAAGGCAGGAAGGTGGGAAGGGAATTCTGTGTGTTGCTGCTTTCTCTAACATGAAAGGATAAGTGATGCTGGGCACTGCTGTTTCAGGTATCTGATCCCCTGCAACCACATGATGCTGAGCCAGCGGCGGGCTGTGAAAGAGAGAGACTGTTACTCTGTATCTGCTGCAAAACTGCTGGCCCTGACACCTCTCTGCTGCTCCACTGGAATCACTTTGACACTTGAAAGCCAAGGAAAAGACTGTATTCTCTGGACAAAACCAGCACAAACTAAAGGTAATTGGTGCTCAGAGGAAGATGAAATAATTAGTGTCTGATTTGGTAGCACCTTATGGGAGGAATTGTGAAGGAATAGAAGGGGAAGGAAATGTGGGCAAGCCTGGAGTAGAAAGTTTGTTTAATTCCTTCCATATGTCCAGGTCTATCGAAACCTTGTTTAAACAGCTATCCAGCTTGAATACTTGAATATGCATTCATGACAATAGTGTACTGATACATGGCAGCAACTCAGGCTGCTTCAGTGTGCTTGCTGCATTAAGGTTTGAATGCAGGCTGCTCTCATAGAAATCTTGAGTTACAGCTCTGTCTTTGTGATAGGAAAAAGTTGTGTGTTTATGAGCACATCTCACTTGTTGTGCTTTGGTCTTCCTGCCTTATTGGATTGTTAGGGTTAAAGACTCTTCCTGCAATGTCTTAGTGGATGCCTTGCTGGAGAAAATTTGATGCACTACTCTTGATACGAGTCGTCTTCTTTACTTCCAGATCCTGATAGACGCTCTTCTGAATCTGTTTGCATCGTGGAATATGGAAGAGCTGTGGATATCAGCTACTTGCAGTACCTGGGGGAAGCTCAAGAAGCCATCATCCAGTGCATGAAAGATTGTAAGGTTTGGTCTGCCTTGTATGATGGAGTAAATCCTGATCCAGACACCTTTATCCAGACGCTTGCAGAGGAGAACAGTGCGGATGTGGAGTACCCCATGTTTCGGCTCCAGCAAAGGACTCCTAGCACGTGCAGCTCTGCTCAAGCAACCCCATTTAGTGAGAAGATGCAGCTGGAGCTAGAATGGGATGATAGCTATGACACAGGGATTTCTCCTGGTTCTAACGTGAGCTCACCACGACCGTATGATGATCTGGGAAGCACAGAAATGCAGCCACCTGCAGAGCCACCAAAACACATTCAGGAAATGAAAAAAAATGCCATTATGCTCATCAAAGGCTCTTACATAGAGGAGTCAGACTTTCAGGATGATGTTATGGTTTACAGGTTATGTGCCCAGAAGGATACTCAAGATGATGACAGCTCCAAGGAGAAAGCTTTAAATGTAGCCAGAGAACACAAGGTGCAGAGCCAGACCGTAGTCAATGGGTCTCTTGCAAAGACCCAGCTGGAAATGGACTTGGATGAGCACAGTAAGAGAAATTCAAGCTCAACTAAAGGTGTAATGAGAGAACAAATAAACCAGAAAATGACTGAGATTGATCCACAGCCAGACTTAGAGTTAAAGATTTCTTCTCAGGAGGCAGATTGTAACTTAAGTGTAAAACTGCTGAGCACAGATGGTGAGGATTTCATTGCACAGTATGACAGAATTATTAAGGAACTGGTTCCAAACAGTGCAAGCATGGAGGAGCAGAAGTTGGATGCTCCTGATCCTGTCTCTCCAGCAGAAGAAGAGGAGGACTTTGAGAATTTCTCAGCAGATACCCCTTCTGCAGAGAGCATATCATCTCCCTTTGGACCAAAGGATGATGTCTCTCCCAAGCACTCTCCAAGGAGCCAGAGTGCTCCATTTACAGGTGGAATGTCCTGTTAATTACATACATAACAAATATAAGAAGGCATGGGGATTAAAGGGGGCCAAATGAGATCACACTGTGTGGCACACAATACAAGCATAGAGGAAGGAGGAGTCCTGGCACTATACAGGGTATAGTCTACATAGCTGAAACCACTCCCAGGAGAGTGAGAGATCCAGAGTGAAAATACAGCAGAGTCATCAGTGTGGTGAAAGAAAATGGTAGTGTTTCAGAGTTTTTCCCTTGGTAATTGTTTAGAACATTGAGCAGGGGTTATGTTGTTTGTATGTGAGAGTTCTGTCACACTAGAGGAAGCTTTTTCAGTTGAAAGGTGTTCAGAGTAGCTATTTTAATATACAGAGCCCAGGTAAATAATTTCTTTTTCTGGCAACTTTCACCTCTGATGGGATGGATGCAGTATCATAGTGCCATTTTTCCTCTCTCTGCTATTCCACATTGTAGCAGAAGGTGTCAGCACTGGTGCCATGTCTGTACGTGCCTGTCTCCCTGCTCTGCCCTGACATCCTGTTCTCCAGTGTCAGGTCTGCCCTCGCTGTTGGCATGCTTTTCTCTCTAGTGCCAGGCAGCAATTTAAGATTGCTCTCTGCTGACTGTCCAAGCTATTCAGGAATGGCATTACTACTGGAGGTCAGAGTGGGCTTTTTGATCTGTATTTGTGCAGCTCCTTGCACTACAGGCTCCTGGTCTTTAATTAGGTCTCCTAGATACCGGAGTAATGCAAATAATAAAAAATAATAATGTACTAGGTTTCCTCACCCAACAAAAACCTCTATAAGATGGCTTCTCGTTCATTTGGAAAGGGAAAATGTGTGTTCATTGAAAAGCAGCCCTTTCTGGTCAGCTGTGGCCAGAATGCTTGGCACTGTTTCTTAATTGAAAAATCCAGTCTGTTTTTCAACTAATTTGCTGTTTTTGCTGTGGTGGTACATTAATTGTATCCACATCTTTGTTTTGTGTTATCTGCTGTCAAATGTAGCTCAAAAAATGTTCTCTCTGTCTCTCATTCTTCATCTAGTCCCTCTCCATTTGTTCATTTTCAAAAACCCACCCCTCACCCAAACCCACGAAAACCTCAGAACTGAGGAAAATGAAGATAAAAAGCTAAACACAATAAGCCTAGATGTTTGCTACCCATCTACAGTGTGTTTTGCTCTTAGACTCCTTACCTGGCTTTAATGGAGATCTTAGTGATTGCATGTAAGGAGTTACTTGTAACAACACCTTGGAAATGTTAAAATTGCAGGGCCTTTCAAAGATAGCAGCTTGGTCTAATAGAAGGTATTCCTCCCCAGGGCAGGGAGCTTGGAACTAGATGGTCTTTGAGGTCCCTTCCAACCCAAATTCTATGATTCTGTATCTAATTTGGGATGCTGTATTATGCTTGTAGATGTGTTTGATAAAGTTTTTAGGTTGCTTTACTGTTTTGGGATGGCATTAAGGGATGAGGCCTCTCTCTGACAGAAGTTTCCCACAGCCAGTAAGTGTCAGCAATGCAAAGATGCTCCCTTCAGGCCTGTGGATCTGTGAAGAAAATGCTCTCTCGGTGTCTTATATCCATGGTAAAACATGTCATCTCTATTTTCACTTGTGATGTTCAGGAACAGGAATTTGTATTTTGTTTCCTCCTTCTCCATATATCAGTGCTTGACTTCATCGCCATGAAAGGAGTAATTTTTTGATTTCTCATCTAGTTACCCTGTTTCTTACAAGGCTTCTAAACTCTGCTTACATCCTCTGAGTCTCATTTCAATAAATTTTTAGGAGTGAAAGTCATGCTATCACTTTTTTAAAAAAATTTTATGTATTTGGTAATGTCCCTTGCAGCTTCAGCTTTACCTACTCAGCTTTGAAGTGTTACCTAGAGAAGAGAAACAGTGACACATCTCAGCTCCTTCTGCCATCTCTTTTGATACAGTAGAGCTCCCTTCAGGAGCTCTGTGAAAGTGTCACCATGAACAGGATAGGTTATGTTGGGACAGAAGAAACTGAATCTCAGCAAAAGTGTGTGGAGCTGGCTGCTCCACTGGATGCTCGGGCTCTGGTGGCTGTGGTGGTGGTTGAAAGGCAGTAGCCACACGAAGCCTTGCCAGCACTGGCCCTCCCACCTTTCCCGTGCCAGCATTAGCCTTGAGAGATGAGTCTGGAAGGAGTGTGCCTTTGTGCTCACAGTTGCTGTAAAGCATGACAGATTCCAGCCTTTAGTGGAGCTCTGTTAAGTGAAATGGCAACAGGGGCACTCCTCATTTGATCCTTCCTGTTGCTCTGGGCCAGAGGTGCTTTAGCCTCTGCTGTAGTTTCCAGCAGGGACATTGAACTGGGCTGTGCCTGTGCCCAGCCAGCTCCAATGGCAGCCATGTGCAAACTGAGGGGAGCTGGAATGGTGTTGGGTTATGGCCACCTTGCTTGACCCTAGAAATGCCCATGGCATGTATTTTTTGCCAGGTTTGAGGGTGGGATATTTAAAGATAACAGTGCTAATCATTCTTCTGCATGGTTTTCCTAGCTCTTATGCAACTTGAATAGTGTGGTGGGACTGTGGATGTGACAAGGGACATTACTTGTGAGTAGGTCCCTTGTACTGGCTGCCTCAAGCATGTGCCAAGCTGTGTGGTCTAACAGGATAGTATTTGAGTGAAGTCATTCTCAGCCTTGCAAAGGTTTCATAAGCTTGAGCACTAAAGGTTTATGTACTTCATGGTAAATGCTTCTGTAGTTCAGTGGCTGTCCTTCAGCATGAATGCACAAACTAAAGCTATTATTTGTTGGTGACATTTATATGATAACGCCTATGTCTACCAGCAATTATGCTTATAAATCTATTTTAATGTCTTCCCTGCTTTGTGTGAGTGTTTGGTATACTGAAGATGCCTTTTCTTGTGATGGGAAATATCACAGCTTGATTTTTATGTTTAGAATAGCATTTTCATATTTTCTTTAGAACACCAGTTTTTGGATAGAACAAGAAAGCTAGCAATAATTCATTTTGCCCAGCTTAGAAATAAGGCATAGGAAGAGTAAAAAGAGCAGATTCTATTTGCATTAAAACTAGTAGTACCCTTCCAATTTATTAAAGGGGAATAGAGTGGTAGACTGTAATGTCCTAGGCTAAATCCTTATTGGCACATACAAGTGGAATAGTCATGCATGTTAAATAAACCATTAATGTAAACTGATTGGCCAGGTAGCCAATGTGCTGCTAACCACAAAAGCTTTCAACACCTCTGTAAAGTCTGCTTTCTCTGTTCAGCTACAGTTTGGGTTTTCTCCCTGCTATCTTTAATTACTGTGTGGGAGGGCTAATTTGGTTGGTTATGATGGTCAAAATTCCCTTTAAATGCCTTTTTCCTGGATCTTCGGGTTTTTCTTCTGTGAAAACAAAAGCATTGATTCCTTCTTATTTTCTTGCAGGACCATTCATCAGCGTAGTGTTGTCGAAGCTGGAGAACATGCTGGAGAATTCCTTGCACGTAAATTTGCTGCTTATTGGGATTATTACTCAGCTGGCAAGTTATCCACAGCCGCTTCTCCGCTCCTTTCTGCTCAACACCAACATGGTGTTTCAGCCTAGCGTGCGCTCGCTCTATCAGGTATTTACACAGGTGATAGCCATGCCTACTGGAGCAGTGTCTTTAGTGGCTCCTTAAACCTTACGTTAGCTCCTTTCACTTTCACATGTAGCTTTCCTACCTGTCTGAGAGCTTCTTATTTCATTTCCATGTTTTAATTGCATCTGTGCAAAGAACTGGAAACTCCATATGACCATAGCTTTTGTCAGAACTCTAGTCTAATGCAGGTAGAGAAAGCCTTGAATATTCAGTCTGTGGCTGCACTGGGAGCAAAGGAAAAAGAAGTAATTGCTACTGTTGTTTTGGCAGGTGCTGGCATCTGTGAAAAATAAGATTGAACATTTTGCTTCCATTGAAAAAGACTTCCCAGGTCTTCTCCTGGAGGCCCAACAGTACCTGCTTTTTCGTGTGGACATGTCTGATGCTGAGGAAGAATTGCTCACCAAAGGTAAATGATAAGCACGCTCAGAGGAGGGCTGGTGGAATGACTTACCAATTCCCCCTGTCCTTTTTTGCAGATGATTAAAAGGTGTGGTGTGTTGTGAATGTCATTAGCCAGCTGTATTCTCCTGACTTTAAAGTGATGATGCTCAGTAGACCACAGTGTATGGGTCTATTTGGATATTCTTTCCTTTTTATGAGTTTTTATTTGGTATATAAAATGTCTGTTTAAAGAAGTAACAAATTCAGTTCTTGGCTTGCTGTCAGTAAACAAACTCACTTTCAAAGCATGAGGTGAGGTGGCATATGTGCATGATTTCATTTTATTTTTAGCCTGACCTTCAGCTAGGTCATTGGTTCTTTTTTGATAAATCTTAGCTAGGACAGAAGTCCAGGATGAACTGGTTTCTGCAACAATTGAATAAGGCTTGGTGTCATGGTTTCGGCTACCACTGAAGGAGATAAGACACTGAAAGTTTTCTGGCTAGTATCTTTCTTGTATGACAAACAAACCAAAACAAGCAGAAAAAACCAAAATGTGTGTGTCTATGAGCAGTGGGGAGTTATATGGGTATCACCCCACCAAGCCAGCTTTGCAGGGGACTCTGTCACATCTGCTGCTTCTCAAGCACAGCGCATACTGCACCTGTCTTTACAGTTACCTCTACTTATTTTTACCACTGTGGGGCAAGCTAGTAAAAATAAACAAAATGAAGTCTTAGCTGCCAAATAAGAACCTTCCAGACACAGGCAGGCAATGGATAGAGCTGAAGCCCTGCCCTGAGGACATGCTTGTTCTCAGCTTGCTTCTGAGCAGGCAGTGTTGGATGCAGGCTTCTCTTAAAAGCCAGCTTGCCACATGATGGGAATATGTCAAATTTGGTGAGTCATGAAGAGCTGACTCTGTAAGGGTTCAGAAGAGGCTGCATGTACAGGTGTGTGCTTACTCGTCTTTGGGAGTCATTAATAATCACCCACTCGGCCCACACTTCTGTGAAGATGTTGATGCTTTCCTTGGATTTCCAGAGGTGGAAATCAGGAGTCTTTATGTGCCATTTTAATTGTGTTTTCATTTTTCAAGACTCTGAAGAATAATCTACCTAGTTTGTAGTCAGCATAGTCTGTGTTTCTAAGGTTTGCAGTATATCTAGTCTGTAAAATTATGATCTTGCTAAGGCTGCATCCTAAAGAGTTGGTCTGCTGTAAAAAAGCTGTGTCCTGCACATGTCAGTAGCATTTTAGGCTCTGCATTTTGGTGTCATAGAATTGAAAGCTGAACCATTAGATGTCATTGTAGCTAGCATGTGGGAGATGAGATTAGGAGGCAATATTCAGAGTCCTTTTTTTCTCAGGTGCTGGCAATAAGAACTTTCACATAATGCATTCCCAATGACATTTATTTATACTTCCTGTTTTACGTCAGTTTTCTTCTGTGGGCTTCAGAATTTACCAGGTTGACTCATGTTGGTCATTATTTAGGAATTTGAAACAAGGCTGCTTAGTCACCCTGTTAGTGCACTTTGTTCTGTATAGTGGCAACTCCTGCAGAGAAGGCTTGTCTTGACAAATAAATGGAGAGTAAGTAAATTTCTGGATAACTGCAGATTTGGTTCCCTACAGGACTAGTGATGCAAGTCATCAGACTGTAATCCTGGGGGAGAGCTGGCTCAGTAGCCTATCAACCAGTAGTTCATTATGTTGATTAAAAAGTGCAAGGTAGGAACTGCTGCAATAATGGTAAATGAAAAAAAGAATAAAAACAAACCAAAACCAAAAAACAAATTGGGAACTCCCCATGGACTTCTTTGCATTAGCTTGAACACCATCTCTGACTGTCAGACATATTGGTTGCTCTCTGAGGGATTTTTCCCCTGAAAAGAAGTGGTGAATAAACCCCAGTGTTCTCTGCAGGTCTGAGCATAGCCAGCCTCCTACAGAATTCACATATGAAAACCTGAAGGCAGAGTTAGTGAGGAATACAAATGTAAAACCAAAATATTATAGAGAATTTTCTCTCACTTTACAGGGTTGGTCTCAGAAGGTTTTTGAACAGAAATGGTACAATTTGTTCTTTTTTGCTTGCAGTAGTGTGTGATTTCTTCCACAGCAGCTTGGGCTCTGGTTACACATCTAGAGCTGTCACGATGTAGCTCCATGTGCAAGCTGCCCCTTTTTCAGTGTGTTGGTAGCAATCTTCAGAGTACTCATTTGCTCAATTTTCAATTGTATGACTCAGATTGCATCCTGACCCTAGAGAGAAGTTAACAATCCTGATCAAAGGAAAAAAAACCAACAAATCTCTATTTCCTAGATCAGCTTTCTGTGCTTTTCTGGTTTTTTTTGGGTTTTTTTCCAAACAAGCAGTTGAATCTAAACAAAAAATATTTTTAGAGATGTATCAGTTTTGATTCTTTTTAAAAGGAAGAGTATAAAGAAGAGGAAAGCTTTCACAGTGTACTAGCATTCTGGTTATATTGCCTAAACTATTTAAAAAAACTTAAAATATTAATTATGAAATGTTTTAACATTAGAGAATCTGAGAAAAAAATCTTCAGGGGAAGCTTAAAACTTTATCTTTTCATTGTAATCTATAATTTAAGTTGTTTTTCCTCCCACAGTCAGATTTTCCCACAGAATAGAAATTCCTGTACTCTGTCTCTAGTAGGTAGAAATTTGTAGAATAACAGCATGAATGATTGATAAGTCTGGAGTTGGAAAGGTGTTTTAAACTCAAGAAAAGTACGAGTCTGTTAAATGATTGAGATGGAATTTTTTTTTTTTTCAAGTGTTTGGAAGGAGTAGAGTAATTCCACAGTGCCTTGGGTGAAGTACAGGCAAGAAACAAAAGTGCAGAGCTGTTGAACAGAGGATTGCTGTGCAGCATCGAGTGAGGCCTTCATCTACAGCTCCCCCTGTTCACTGCTTTGGAGGGGTTTCAGAGCAAGGCTGGCATCACTTGAGACTCTTACTTTAACATAAACTGCGTGCAGAGTAAGGGAAATCCCTTCTGAAGGCAGCAATGCAGTTTTGAGCTTGTCTGCAGTGTGTGAATTAACATAACAGCACTTTTATTTCTTTTTAATGATTTACTGATACATCTCAGGAGAGCATCCCACTTGTGAGTTAGATGGGACTTCATCTGCCTCCGCTGAGTTGGCCTCAATGATACCTTGTAGCACTGAGTTCTATCTTGTAGCAGTGAGTTCTACAGGTTAATTTTTCTTTGTAGAGTATTTATTTCCATCAGCATTAGATTTTGTCACCTTTTTAGTTTCACTGAATTAATTATCATCTAATTAAAGGGCAGTTCTGCTTCAGGTTGAAACAAGGAGCAATTGATTGAAATTTAAGTGCTGCTGTCACTGTAATTCCATGCATTCTGATACTTGAGCTCTGATCCTCTGAACTCTGGCAGCAGAGATCATATAGCAGAACACACAGTGGCTTTCACTTGCTCTCTTTTTAATGGTTAGTTGCTTTACAGGGAAGTAAGAGTAGTTAGTAGGGCCTATAGCTGCAGAAAAATCCAATTTTAAATTTTTTTCCCTTAGTTTCTAACTTGCTTCCAACTCATGTGGTGATGTGATAGCTCGGCCTCGAATCCATTGACATGGTGCTTCACAGGGAGAGGATAGAGAAAGAGAAGTAAAATCAAAACAACAGTTTGGTGTGGGGGAGGGATAGAGCATAGTATCGTTTAAATGGAGACAACCATGCTGGCTCTAGACGGTAGATATTATCTGCTGTTTCAGAAGGTAAATCCATATTACTCCTTCCCTTGACTCCTCTTCTGCCCACATATTTCTCTCATCAGAGCTGTAACTGAATGATATATAACCTGGGGAAAGATAGGTAATAAAAAATGCAATAGAACCAGGCTATGTAGAACTTTAAAATGCTGGATTAGTGCAGTATCTCCCTGCACAGTGTGGGTACTGTAAATTACAGCTCTGAACACAGTCCTTATAAACTGGGTTTAGACACTATACAAGTACTCTGTGTGCTTAATATACAGTCTTTTTTCTTTCCTCTCCCTCTCCTCCTGTCTTTAGGTAATGTCCATCACAGCAGCAACCCAGGGAAAGGAAGGAATCTTCCTGAAGCTTACCCAGCTGTACTGCAGCCTTTCCTGGGACAGAAAGGAAAGAAAGGCCTGGCTCATCCCAGCCTTCCTGCACACGTGAGGAACGCTGTACTTGCAGCTGCCCTTTTCCCAGAGTTCCTGAAGGAGCTGGCAGCTCTAGCCCAGGAACATTCAATTTTATGTTAAAAAATACTGGGGGATTTTGAAGATTATTATTAGTGGGTTTTTAAAATGTGTTTTGAGAAAGCTTTTGGAGTTTAAACAGATTATTAATGCAAAGCTGCTTTCAAAAGAAGGTTGTACTTCAATATTTCCTGAAAATACTTGATTTGGAGGGGGAAGAAGGAGGCAAAATATTATTCCAGTTAGGCCTTATAATTTCCCTCTGTGCTACATAACTTATTTGAGATTTCTGATACTGCTCTTACTGCAGCTTCCTTCTTCATCCCTTCCTCGTTACACAGCCACCCTTCTTCAGTGTCACTAATTCCTGTTGGATTTCTACAATAGGCACTTGTTGGCTGGCTAAGATACACAAACATGTTAGCTTTTTCTGTTCCACAAATACTCTTCTGGATAACTTGTTAGGAGACAAGTTTGCTTGAAAAAACATTGCTCCATGGGAAAAGTTCACAGTACAAAAAAGCATGCAAAATCTGCACAAAACCTGAAGGGGGTATGTGAAGGGCTGTGTTTCTTGATGTCATTGTCCTCTTTGCCTCTTCCCTTGCTTCACCCTGAAGCCGGGTTCTTACTGATCCCCACCCAAAACCCCCTTTTTAACTACTGGCTCAGGTTTTCTGAATTCAAGTGATCTTATGTGTAGCAAACCCCTGAGTAGCTGAAAGCAGGTGCTGGGCCCTACACATACCATATTGCCTTATGCTGCAGACAGATCTGCAGCTATCAGCTGTTGGGCTTTGAAGTCCAGTGAAGTGTGTAAGTGGATGTGGATTGCAGACTGCCTGGAATTTTCCTTGCAGTTCCTCAGCATTCTTTGATAACTCTTGCATTGCTACCTAAGCCTGCCAGCATGCCTTATTTAGTAAGATTTGCACAAAGTACAAAACAAAATGTTTCTATGCAAGCTGTTATTAGTGTCTAGTTTATTTGTATGCTTGTTTTAATAAGCTAAAGAAAGATACTCTGTATTTTTCTGTAGTGTTAAATGGACAGCAGGCTGTTTTTTGTCTTTGTCTTTTTTTTTTTTTAATTAAATGAAAAAGGTTTGCTTGCTCATGAAAGGTGTACTCTTTTATTGTTAATTTCTCTTAAGGTTAAGGGAAAGTTAAATACTGTTTGTTTACTTGTAATTTAGGTGTTGACTTTTCCTAATATTGCATTTTTGGGATGGTGAGGGGAGGACCAGGCTATTCACCAGCTGCAGAAAAGGAAGGAGTAATGGGGAAAGCTGTCTGCTGGTGACTAACTGCTTGAGAAAATTCTCTTCTGTGAGTAATGGGCTTCATTAGAAGACCCCAAACATGATGAATTGGTGCATCACCACTGTATTTTGTCTTATCTTAGCTGCATAATTGTGCTTCCAGTGTGTTGTAGTTGGCTGCATAAAGAGGCGCTTAGTTCAAGAAAGCCATAAACCCTTTTGCCCAGGATACAAACTAACAATGACTCCAAAAAATGTGAAGAAACAGAAATCAGAAATAACATTTGCATACATTAGTTCTCCTGCTCATTGTAATTCCATAATGTGGAATTCCAGTTAATCACATTCTGAATTTGAAACACACTTTCTCAGAGATTTCAGGGAAAAAAACAGTTTAAAAACAAAAACCAAAGACATTCCAGAACAGCCTAATTAATTGCACATCAGATTCCTCTGGAATATGCAGTTCGGTTTAAGCTCCTAAATCCTTTAGGTAGTTCTGAAAAGTTCTTTCTTTAATCTACAAGGTATAGATTAAAGTGTCTGCATTCATTGTGTCAGCCTGCTGTAGGCTATTCCAAGAAAAAAATATCCCAAAATCTGCCTCCAACAAAATCCCCTCCAGAACTTCTCTGGGTCCATCTTTTCTTGTTTGCTGCACAGTCTTCATTTCCATGATGGCTGGGGGTCCTGTTGCTTCCGAGCTGACTCTCTCTGGTTTGGTTTCATTTATGACTTGTTTAGTTTTTCAGGTGTCACTGCATCACCATTCTGCAAATCACCTACTGACCTCCACATGGCCCTCTTTCACCTCACCAGCTTTCTTGGAAGCTGAAGCCAAAGCTGTGGGGTTTTCCCTTAGGTATTAGTTACCCAGGTTGAAGAGAGCTCTTTCTTTATCAGTTCTCCCCCAGCCTCACATTGTTGTTGTAAATGAGTAATGAGATTGATTGATTTTTATTTTTATTTTTTTTTTTAATAAAACTTGTTCTAGGGCACTGTGGGTTCTTTTCCCACTCCCTCATTTCTGCTGCCTTCCATGCTGTACTCATGGGCTTGGCCTGAGGGGGTTCAGTGTGTGTGTTGGAAGTGTTTTACCATTATGGTTGTAGGGTCAGTGCTTGCTTTGCTTCTCACCTCTTCTGCAAAAACTGCATGAGAGCAAAAGGAAAGTTTGATCAGCTCCCTTTTAGTGGTTCAGAAACAATTGCTAAAATGCAGAAGCAATCTAATCCCTTTTTTTTGAGGACTTTTTAAACAGGAATTAGAAAGATTATTTCACTTTTTTAAAAATAAAGAACTCTGCAGACCAGTGCTCAAGGCAGTAAATTACTACCTGCACACTTCCTTTGTTTGTATTCTAAACTAAGAATCCTTATTTGCGGGGTAGAAGGGATTTCTTTGGAGATTGTTAATTTTAACTGGTGTTTTCAGCAAATGGACAAAATCACTGCAGTTTCATCCCGGCAGGTCTGTTAAGCTACATGAGTATTTTAAAATGTGGACTACTCATAAAAGCATCTGTAAATTAGAGGAAGGAGAGGATTTTCCTCATAAGTTTTAGTAGAGTTTATGTTCTATGTCCAGTAGGATAAAGTCAGCCTTTGAAATCTGGAGTTGTGTGGAAGGCTTCTTGCTGAAAGGTCAGAGCTGTGTTTGTGCACAGCGTCCCCTCACCAATGGGAAATGTCTGTCAGCTCCCCAAAAGGAAGAGGTGGAGGAGTGCAGTGACGCTGGCTTAGAATGTAAAAATGCAGATCATACGTGTACCTTTGCATTGCTTTTTTTCTGAGTGGGATCAGACTTGCAGCTGTGTCTCAGATGTAATAGCAGTATAATGTCTGGCAGCCAGCACAAAAAACTGTTGGTGGGAATTGCCTCTTCCTGCCTTCAAAATGCAGAACCTGTGATTTAGCTTGAAAATGTTGATCTTTTGAGATGAATCACATCTGTGTGCATAAGCTCTTCAGCCAAATGCTTCTCTAATCAGCTTCTTCTCTCCAGTTAGATAATGTGTTATCCTGTCTCTCACCAATGATAGATCCTTTCCCAAAAAAAACCTGTACTTGTGGTCCAAGCTGTGGTCCGGCCTGGAGGTCTCTGGAGGACAACAGCATTATGCTGCTATGTCCAAGAACAAGGAAGTGCTTTATGATCTGGTTTTTCCCACATTCAGGTGGGTGTGTGACTGGAGCAGTCCTTCTTTGGTACATTGGCTGAGCATCAGTTCCAAATGAAGTGCCTTGGCAGATCTATTGCAAAGACTGCAGGTGGTGGCTCAGTGATACCAAAGTGAATTTCCAGGTTCCTACTAGATGCTTCAAACTGTGAATGCCACATTTCCAATTATGTAGCCTTGGAGTGTGTTTTTAAGCTGTTCTGCTATTGCAAGGAATCTTTCCAGCATTTTCAACCTGCTTTTGTGTGTGTGTGTGTGTGTATGGTTTCGGTTTGGTTTAGTTTTTGTTTATTTTGTTTTTGCAACCTACCTATAAAGTGAGCACTTTGTCTTCAAAAATTTGTAGTCATTCTCTTTTACCTTTGGCCATTTTTGGATGCTTTCTGGGTTAGTCTCAGTAAACATACACATGGTTTGCATTAATTGGACTAAAGCTTCATGCATGCTTGTGCTGGTCTTTGTACATGTATAGTCAGGTGCAGTTCACATGTTGCTGGCTGTGCTTACTACCTATATTATTGTATTCTAGGCATTTTTCTTAAATTTGATCTTTTTCATGGGTGCCCTAAAGAATATTATGATATTTTGAATGGGATCAAGTTATTGATGTTGCAGTTCTAGGTGTGAAAGATGCATTGTCTTTTTTTGTCCTGGTAACTTCTGACTTTGGTTTTCAAGAACAGAAATCAGAACTTCTGTTTTCAGCTGTATTCTGTGGAGATGAGAAAACTCCAGTATCAGGCATGGACTGTCCCTCCCACCAGCAGGCCCAGGTACATGCTTCCAAGCATATGGTTCATAAATTACTTGCTACTTCGTTCTTTGGGGTTTGTCACTTTGCAAAAAGTCTGAATTCAGTGGTGTCATGCTGTGGTACAGAGCACTTGCCTTTCAGGTGTGATTTGGTATTTTTAGTAAGATTGGTAAATTTCCTAGGATGGGAGAAAACAAAGTGTGATTGAGGTGGACCTTGGACATCAGCCGGGAGCCATGCCTTGGAATGGGAGCGGGACTGGATAGACAGGAAGCCTGAGCAGCATTCCTGCCACCAATGCCGCTCTTTGGCCTGTGCACAAAACCCAAGTGATCTGTTCAGTCCTTCAGAGAAAAACATTTGCAAACAAACTTGCAGCATCCTGTAGACTCTGAGGGTTTAAGTTCAAGAGGTTAAGTTCTATTTACCAAGAGAAGTTCACCATCCAGCACAGTGTGTACACACTCACTACCCTTTTGTGCACTCTGCTTAAGCCTCTCAGAAGGTTTCATGCTTCGGGAAGGATTTTTAGCTCCTCTAAGATGCTCTAAAATCTCAGGGTTGGAAAGAAAAGGATGGGAGCAGTGTGGTTTGTTGCAGTTAAATTATGTCATTGTATCATTTGAATTTGTAGCCACAGCTCCTGTTTGAGGATGGCTTGATTTAATAAGCAATTTACTCTGCTGTATTAACTGAAATTGCTATGTCATGCCTGCAGTGACAGCTCCCATTACGTTTGTAACATTTAAATTGCATCTGTGTTTATGAGTAGAATACTGGGATTTTCCTCTTTCTTTTCTTTTAACTCAGATAGCTCTGGCACTGTACAGTAACAATACTGCTGTGTCCTGATCTGATTTAGAAAATTAGAGTATGTTCCTTCTTGCACTCTTTGAGCATTATCAGCAGAAATGAAGGATACATGGCACTTGGGCTGCTTACATTAA